TAATATAATATAATAATTTAATATATAAAATTAACCTAATAAAAATAATTTATTTGAATTTGCTTGTTTTTTAAGTGGATTTGCCTTCTTACGAAGCTGAAATAACTCCTTTATACACTGGTGAATTAAAGTAAGTAATCAAAAAGAAGTTTTAAAATTTATTGTTATAATTCAGAATAAGCAAACTATCTAGAATATATTTTGAACCAAATTTTAAATATAATGTCTCACAAACATATAAAGTTTATGATTAAAAGGTGCTCTATAGAAATTTCATAAAAATTCTACAATTAGAAAATTTAAATTACCATAATTTCCTACCTGTAATACATAGCATTAAGTTTTTGTTGACAAAAGTTTGTCGTTATCTAATTTGCCCACGATTACATTGTTTATTTGTTTTCTTAGTGCATTAGCAATGAAATGCAATTTGCAAAAACATTTAATAATTAAAAAGAAATATTCTCAAATCTAGGAAAGAAATTAATTTTATTCACTCAGTTCAGTTTAAAGCTGAACTACAAAAGTTTAAAGATTGGTTTATAGTTTAGTGGCAGCATAGTATTGGCACAGTGGAATTCATGAAGTTCCATTAAGTTTACTTTGTTATCACTTTGCCAGATGTCAAACCATAAACTACATGATGCTTGATGCTACATCATCCTGTCTTTCAGTCTTACCAAATTTGTTGCAATGACTTTTTCACAACTTTTGCAAATTGTCATCTTTAAATTGTAGTAGGTTTTACACATGATTGAGATATGCAGATTTGTGTTTTTGCAGATGTTGAATAGTTAGGTTAACTTTTGGCTATACAGTAGTTCTGACTATTAAATGCTATTAATATCTACTGATGAATCTAACTTCTGACATCAAATCATGCTTCTCCAGCTTCTGACATTTGAAATATGGAAAACTAACGAATGCTATTTATTGTGGTGAATATTTTTGTTTGCACACAGTTTTCCTCCTATAATAAAGTTTTATTCTGTATATTCAGAAACACGGACTAAAAATAGAAATTTATATTTTTTTCATTTTTATTACTTTCTGCCCTGTGGGCACTAAGAGGACCTTTTTTTCCCAATCTTAGTATGGGCTTGACCAGGCCCACAATGGGATGGTGGGTGGTGAGGGATGTGGCTTGACATATTCAAGAAAGATTATCCATGGTCTGTTTTGGGGTTGCTCACCTGGTCTTTTAGAGCAATAGGCTGATGCCTTAACTGCCTTAGCCGTCTGGTTGTCAATTAAAGAACTTACTTGAGATATGACACATGACCCACTCTATTTCTCTATCCCTTGACCTTTAACTACCAAAATTCAATAGCATTGTTCTCCCTAGTATACAAACCTTCCTGCAAAATTTCAGAAATTTTTGACAAAAAGCACAAAAGTTATTAAGCTTCAAAGAGGGTGAACAAAATCATGTCACACACACACACCCATATTTTCCCTCTGTTATATATAACATAGCTTGGAAAGCAAAAATGCATATTGTTAGCATTTTGGTAGAATCAGATTTTTCTAAATAAAAAATTTGCATTATTTCATGTTTAATTCATTCAATACTTATTTATTGTTTATTATTTTCTTCTATAAGAACATTTATTTATTTTGCAAACAATTTTTATTAGATCAGAAAATGTGACTTATGAGCATGTGAGAAATAAAATTGATTGCCCTTGTCTTCTTCCTAACTGGTGCACTCATCTTCAATTTTTAGCTCCTCCAGAAAATTGTGAATTTAATGTAGATTATTGTGAAAAATGTGGAGAGAAAAATCAAACTTGTTTATGTTTGCATTGTTTTAAGGTACAAAATAGTTTATTTGAAAATTTTCTAGTATATTTATGTTATAAACTTATCTAATTCAAATTTTTTAAATCATTTTATTAATAGGTATATTGTGGAAAAAATGCAAATGATCATATTTTTCATCATATGAAAGAAAACAAACATTACTTTTGCATTAATAATTCTGAATGCAGAGCATGGTGCTATGGCTGTAACTCCTTCATTAATAATTTAGTAAGTTCAATGAACTTTATCTCTTCAATTACTTTTATTTAATTATATTTTTATATTCATTTTTAAAATGGAATCTTTCAGATGACAATTGATATCCAGAGACTTGTATACAAGAAAAAATATGGAGTAGAACTGCCCTATTTCAGCTTTGTTTAGATAAACCAAATTATTACGGTATAATATTTTGAATAAATTAATCATATATTTTTAAATGTATTACCCACATTTTGATAAAATTTAAAAAGAAAATTTTTTACAAATAAATGAAAACAATACTTTTTAATAAACTATTCTTGTTCTTTTGTGTATAATCTCATAGTCATTACACACAAATCCATCTTAAATATATATATAAAAGTTTATTTTATAGATTATTAAAAATTCTTTAAATTGAAATGAAATTAGTTTTTAAAATTTTAAATCTAATTTACATTATTACTAGTTCTAGCAGACAATTTCAGGATTTAGAGTTGTGCTAAGTTACATTAATTCTGTTACAAATGAATTAATGCAAATTATAAATAAATTCTGTAATTTTTAAAATAAATATTTCAATTTAATGATGTTTAGTATTAGAATTTTTCATAAAATTTTCATGAGACATTGTTCTACAATAGGCTTTTTTATAATAAGCACATTTGATAAATTTGTTTACAGTAGAGTTCCTCAAACTTGACTGTGGTCTGATGTAGGCTGAGAGGGTGACAAGTTTTATGGCATAATAAAGATGCTAGTCTAAATAGCAGAATTTTCGTAAAGTTATTATATGTGCAAATTCATATATATATATATTAACTATGTACCAATAGTGACTATTTCTATTTGTAGTTAAATTTTAAGTAGAAAATATTGGTTAGTTAGTGGTTACTTTTGAGTTAGTGACATTTACATTGTGGTGTTTTGGAGTGACACCTTGAAAAAAAGGGTTATATTATTTGTTAACACACAATTGATGCTATTATCAAATGTCACCTGTAAAGAATGATATATCTTAGTATTAATTATGGAAGTAAAAATTAGATTTCATGTATTTTTTTTTTTTTTTTTTTGAATGACAAGTTGTATGGAATGTTGAGTTTTCAGGACTCCATTATATTATGTATTAAGAATGGAAACTACACTTCTTCTCCATCCGTATTCATATTTACAGCCTTTCCCATAGAAAGAATCAAAGCTCTATCTATGATCAGGTTTAAATCTGGAATTATCATAATACAGTAGTTTTTAAAAAAATCTATATTAAGTAGCTAGCAGTTGGCTACTTAATACATCATAGGAACTCAAAGTTCAACTCTAACAATAAATCAGAAATTCCTGGCATTCGAATAAAAATGTATTTATAATGTGTCAGTTTAACATCTAATATATTCTGAATGATGCCAATAAGTTTACCAAACAACATTATAAAAATACATTGTGTATTGTTGTAGAATGTTCAAGTAAATCAGAGAGAATTTAAAATTTTAATTTGGTAGATGTAGAGATGAGTAATCTGCAGATTTCTGCGAATGGTCTGCATGTCTAATGTTATATAGGTTTCATTTAACAAACTAAATCTTTTTAAAAACTTTTTATAATGTTGCAAGTATTAAAAGGACTTTTTTCATACCATTATGAGTTCATTCAGACCGTGCTTTTAAGAATTATCTGCTGTTCCCAATGACTACAAATAATTCTCAAAAGGTGACTAACAGTGCTGTGATTCAAGAGATCTTGCAACTTGTTGTTGCGTTTCATGGAACATTTGCAAAGGACAATTTTCCAATGAGGCAATGCTCACCCACAAACTGCTTGTTCTTTCCACTAGTGCCTTTGTCATGTTCATACTCTTCCTTGGTCCACATTCTCTCCGGATCTTCCACAATTGAACATGCTTGGAATATGCTTGCATTTCAATTGAACATCATCTTCAGCAGTAATTGCAGCAGTCTTAGGAAAATTTGCCACCTGTACGATCCTTTCAAAATAGGAGTCTGCTTTGAAATTATCAATTCTTTATCTCCTTATTCACATTAGACAGGCTGGATGACCAGCCAGTTAAGATGTCGGCCTACTGTTCTGGGAGATCTAGGAATGAATCTATATAGGTTGACAAACTTCAGGAATTTTTCAAGGGATTCGTCACCACCTTCACTCACGCTTCATTGTGGACCTGGCTAAACCTACAATGGGCTTGAAAAAATGTCCTTTTAATGCTCACAGATGAAAAGAGTCCAAAGCAAATTGTTTCAATGGTTCTGCATGACTCCTCATCAACTTCAGACCTTTCTTCAGTTATGTAAACAAAGAAATTACATGGACTGAATTCGACGAATATGGGAAAATGTGGCAGAACCACAGCTACAATTGTAAAATTGGCTGCACATCATTAATAGTTGTTTTGATGGAAAAACTATTTCATATTAGAAAGTTTTGGATGTATTTTTAACAAAAGTTACGTCAAAGTTTATTCTGAGAAATTCAGCGTATGCTTCTTTATTCAGAGATGTTCCTCGGGACATGAAATATGCAATTACACGTTTTGTACCTTGTATATAAATGAAACATGAACATGGCTCCTGCTACAAAGTCTGTCAAGGATATATTATTAATTAAAAAATAATAATATGAACGAGCAATTATTTATTGTGACATCGTCACAATACCGGGCTAAAATTTTTAATCATTCTTAATTTATTTAATTTAAAATACAGGTATGTGTTCTCCACCTGAAATTAGTAGTGTCGTGCCCCTGTACATCATACTTTTCCTGATAACAACGGAGTCATCTATATAATACTCCATTCAGGGGAAAATTTAAAAATTTCAATCGGGGCTTTCTGCCCCTAAGCTTTCATATTATTACTCTATTCCTAATAGAGAAATAATATGATTCAAGCCGCCTATCCTACGAGCAGTAAAGGCTGTTGCAACCTTAAGTGCTGACTGCCTAGTTAAAACGTCAGCCTACAGTTCTGGGGACCCGAAATCTGTTCTTCTTATGTCCTTTGCCATCCATCGTGGACTCGACCAAACCTACCAAGGATAAGGTCGAAATAGTCCTCTCTATGCCGCACTGTGAGCATTATGTCCTCTTCGGCCTTCGTGTTAATTCGGTAAAATATATTTGATTTAATAGAATATCGTCGCTGTAATTAAATTTATATTATGTGTTATACTTATAGCGTGTTTTTTAAACAATGTATTTTAACATTTACATTTATTATACTCTAACAATACCTCGTTTCTACGTTTACTGGTGTTGTGCTTCCATCTCGTGACTAATGTATAAGTTTTAACGAATCCCAACGAAAATTTCATTAAATTGATTATTACGAAATTATAAATAATTCTGTAATTTTATAAAAAGTGTTATGAGATAAGCAATATTTTAATACAATTTATCATTTATCCGTTTATTTCTTTCAGAAAATTTCACCTAAGAAAACTAAATGACATTTTCGTTGCTAGTCCATAATAAACAAATTAAATAAAAAACAATAATAATTGTCTGGTGTAATGAATGCGTATTGTTTAATAACAATCGGGCGATTAAAATAGATTTCGAACGTTTAATTTCGATTATCGAGAAAAACACGGAATTATGGAGAAAAAACGGGAGGACGTAAAGGAAAATAAACCCAAATCGGCATTTAATATTGGGCAATTCGTCCTGAATAACAACAGATTTTATTTCGATTGCGACACTAATCGATCCGAAGCCGGAACGATTTGTCGGACAAAATGCCCCAAATGCGACAGAATGCACTCCGGAATCGGATGGTGCCGTTCCGTTACACAAGAAGAAGAAGAGAGCATTTTGGACAGAAACGGTTTCGAAAAGTTGAGGAAACAATTAAATGCGATTATCAAGGCTCGAGGCCGGAACGGATCGCGGAAGGCCACAATCGAGCAAAGGTCAACGGTTCACACGGAGACCACCGAACGGGAAGAGGCGCTACATTCCGAACAGAGCATCAATAGCCATCTTCTTTCCTCGGAATCGCCAGAAGAGAGCAGTTCGGAACTCCTGGAGGAATGGGACAACGATTCGTCTCCGATCGTCACTTCCGAAGGAGAATACGAATCGGACGAAGTTAACCACGTGAGGATCTTCGGCTCTCTGAAGAACTGCGGCAAAATCCACTCCAACTGCAAATCGGAAGAAGACCCGAGTGCCGATCGTCGTAGAAAAACGTCTTTTCTGAGATCCGCGCGGTCACTTTCTTCCGTGGCCGAATTGGAGCCCGTCCGCGCGGAAAGAAAGTCGGAAGACAGAAAAAAACTGTTGTTCCGCCATCGAGCCAGCATCGACATTCACGATTTAATGAACGAGAAAGAGATTATTCTTAGCGACGTGTCGAGCGAAGAGGACGACGACGACGGCGGCGGCAAGAAGCGCAGAAAAAGTCGAAAGAGCGGCGCCATACTGGGACGGATCGACGTCTTGTGTAAAGAGATTAAAGAACTGGAAAAGCAAATAGAGAGGAAAAGAATCGAGTTACGTAAACTTCGACGTCTCCAGTTTTAAGGACGTGGCGCAATTTCTACTCTTGGAATATTTTTGGCGGCGTCGGAACGATAATTTCGCGTTAAAATTTAATGAAAATCTTAATTAAAAATATTAAAGTTTTAATCTATTTATACAGAAATTGTTTTCCCTTATTAATGCGTTTTTTATTTCTTCGTTTGTTTCTAACAAATCAATTACAATATTTATCTTAATCCCAGTTTAAATATTCCAATAGATCAATAAGAATATTTTAAATCTATACAAAATATAAATTCTTATTTCGGTCGTCAGATGGCAGTTGGTTCTGTAGTTCAGTAAAGTACAGTATGCTTGTACGCGACAATTATCTTTATCGTCCCTAAAGTATGGAACTATAAAATGCGACTTAATTAAACATTTTAAATTTCTAATCTGCGATAAAATAATACTTTACTAAACACAATACCGCGATTGAACACCGCTTATTCTACTGTACGTGTCATAGAACACTACAGTAAGCTCTGTATTGTTCTATGACGTGTACACAATTTCTCACCCCTCTAGCACCAGTGATTTTTTTCTTGGTTAGGGGACCGTATACGTGGCCAGTAAACCAGAATTTAGATTGAAAAACATCTCTAGATCGACTTATACGCCGATATATACTATACCAGTCGACCCCCCTATAACACTGTTGATAATTCCGTTTTGTATGAATTCCATGTTGTACGAGTCAATTAGATTTTACAAATACGTGTGCCGGACTGTGAACGGCTCACGTATTTGTAAAATCTAAGTGACTCGTACAACATGGAATTCATATAAAACGGAATTATCAACAGTGTTATACGGGGGGTCGACTGTAGTCGATGTATTAACGATTTGTTCTATATTTATCCGGATTCAAAAGATAAAATACCTTCAAATAACAGTAATTTGAAGAGAAATAAATTGATAGAATCATAAGTTTTGATAATTGAATCAAGGAAAATAAATGAAACAAAGTAATTTGAATAGGTTTAAATAAATACATTGCCGACTATTAAACAATTGAAGTTGGATAAATGTACAGAAACAAATGCTCTTTAACATACGCTCATTCAAACTGTCTACAAATTACATTGAAACGAGTGGAATTCTCTCAATAAATGGTCCATTCGCCAATGAATATAATTCACGCTCTTCGAATTGATTTTAAGTGCGACGAGGACTTTTTAATTGTTTACAGGTGGAAGAAGTTTATATTTAATAGATTTTTCTAAAGGTAAAAATCGATAGGAAGTGATATAAACTGCCTGCAGTTATGACGTTTTCGCTGTCGGGAGCAAATTGTTTTGTCTATTAAATCATCTCTGGCAACAAACAATTTCCTGGATAAATAACAGAAATGACCTAATGAATCCGTTATTGGAGTCTCGCCCAATGAATTGATTTATAAATCTATCCGCCAGATAGATATTATATACTGTGATTTAATAGTCACTTTAATTGATTTAGGATTAATTAAAGAATATTAAGACACGCAATTTAATTCTATCGACTTTCTCTATCGGAATTATACCGAGAAATGGTTACTCCATCGATCAATCCTACCTTTACCGTTGAAATTCCATTTATTTCTAGACAAATTTGAATTCAAAGTAACGAATTTAAATGATAATTCTATACCGAAATAGCATTTCCTTCCCGGTATCTCGATTATTACGATTATTTCTAGCGCAATAAAAAGTAAAGAGAGTTCATTTTAAATGCGAGGAAACTCGATTAACTAAAGTTATATATCAAAACGACTGATAAAATGGTAAAGAAATGTTAAATATAAACATCCTACAGCCAGGTTTACGCAACGTTCTTTATAATTCATCTAAACACAGCAACATCCTACATACTGTATTGTATATAATGGAGGAAGGAGGAGGAGGAGGAGGAGGAGAATAAAAAAAAATTACAAGATATCCAATTACACGAAATACGATCCTTTAGTCCCAATTATTAAGAACTCTGATAAATCTAAATGATGATCCAATTATGTTAAGTTTAAGAGAAGTCTCTACTTGTATAAATCCAATTAGGAAGTTTAAAATATCGCAAGAACTATCGAGTATCGTCAGATTAAACAGTTCTAATCTCGACTAGGGATTTACTGGATTTAAGGGAATTTTTCTGCTCGAAATTTTCATTTTTTCCCTTAAAAAATTATCCGTGTTCTGCGGTTTTCATTATGCATGCGATACGATTACAAAGTTGGGTATATTCTTCAACGGAGGGAAAGGAAGAATTTAGAAAATATTCATGTTACATATTTAATAATGATATTCTATAATTTTACATGGAAAGAATTTAGTTACGGGTTTATACAGCTTTACGACGATGTAATCAAACTACATTTCGACTGGTCGTGTCTTAGGAGGGATGAGGATGAGGAGGAGGAGGAGGAGGAGGGACATCAAACGTTAATAAAACCCCAAACATATTCATTTATTCCGCTGTTGAGATATAAAACTTGTGTTTCGTAGCAAAGGGATCGTAATTTGGTTACGACGCGACTAAAAATATCCGGAAGAATGGAGGAACACTTTTATCCATTACCGGACACGTTCCTACGTACACATCGAGCAACCGAGCATTTAATGGAATTCGTTTGGTTGATGTCTCGGATCGAACGATCCGTTCAAATGAAGTTTTCGGACCAACCCGTTTTACGATTCGTCCATCCGGTAGCTAAGATAAAAGACGTTAAACCCACCAATCGGAACGTACTGTACAGTACTCTACTTTCCTCGAGAAGTCTGCGGCTTCCATTTAATTTTTACAATTGTCGGTGAGGGATAATAGAAGAGAAGAGAATGGAATCGTGCGGTTTTAAAACTCTTTACTCGATTGAACTGGAAGCGGAAATCGTCTAGTTTTTTTTTTTTTTTTATTCTTTCCATCTGCTTTGCCGTAGGTCGGGGTGACGTCCTCGACCAGACTGGAGTGTGTGTGACAGGTGGTAGACAGAATACAAGAGAAACACATTTACTTGGATGGTAAGGTCTTACTTAGATCAATGAAGGTCGGAAGAAGCTTTGTTGTTTTTTTTTTTTTCCTCTTCCCCTTCATCTCTTGTGGCGTCGTGTTGAACACTGGTGACGCAGCTGGGAATTCCTTTCTCTGGAGAAAAACTTTCTAAGTTTGTTTTTGCTAGACGGGTGTGGCTTTTACACCTAGTTCCGTGGAGGATTTTCTTTATGTAACGATTGCCGAAGCTGTTAAAATACCAGTTTACGGGATTTTCGGATAAAACGATTTTATATAGGCCTATATAATTATTTTACGAATCGAATAATTTCGAGTTTAATAGTTTATCGCCATAAGAAGTAGTGGTGGTTAAAAAAAAATAACGATAATTATTGAGAATCGTTTAACAGTTTGCGGTTGAAAACTGTAGTTTTTAATGCAATATTAACGAAGATTTAAAAAAAAATTCCGATTGTTTGTGGATATTTTTTCTGTATTCTGAATAATAAGAACTTTTTCCGCGGTTTGCTTTCTTGAATTAATGCAAATGAGCTTTAAACTAGACTTTAAATCGCTTCGAACGAGGCACGTTTTGATTTTTTTTTTCCCTTTAGATCTATCGGATCCGCATCTGCGATTTACGATCTTTTCTTTATCGATGTCAAAATGAAGGTTCTTTCTAATAATGTTAGACATCTGGCCCAGTTGATACGACATCGGTTTCCAATAATCATTCCTCTCCTTTGTCCTGCAGGTGTTATCTATACATCATTCAAGACTATTTATCGCCACTAAAATAACAAGTGAAAACCCGATCATTCATCCTCTATTTCTTTAAAGGCCTCCAGACTATTTCCTTTTTTTTTTTTTTTCGAAATTTTATTCAGCTTCTAGACATGGCGTGTCTTCTCTTTTTATCGTACAAAGCAAAATATTTACTAGAATATACTATACACCTGAAGTAGGATCAAGACAACATTGGAGCGGATCGATCATTAGTCAAAACTTTGCGAAGTTTGACACCAGCGAAAATGTTCTCCCTGAAATTTAGGTGTAAGTTTTAAGTGTTTTCGTGTTTATAAATATAAAAGATTCGAGAAAAGAGTTTATTGTTACCCTTGTCTTTCGATTTCTCCATCGTTAAGGTTGGCAGGATGAGGGCTGGAATCGTTGCAAAAGCCGCTATCGTTGCTGCTGTGTAGACTAGTTGAGCCGGGATGAGGAAGTGGTAAAGGTGAAGTAAGAGATCTTCTAGGAGGACGTGGAGGACTCACTGGATGTCCTTCTGTAGTGGAAGCGGAGGAGGAGGAGGGATGGGACGATATGGACGGGGGTGGAGGAGGTTGGAGTAAGGACGGAACAACGGGCGGACGTACCTGTAAAAAAAAGTACATAAATTTAAGATTTGTTACGATTCTTTCAAGTTTGCGATAAGATAATTTTTACCTTAGACGATTCAACTGGAGGAGGATCGCCAAAGGTCAATAATGTTGGCGCAATTATGGGCGTATGTTCGCCTCTAGATAGTTGGATAGGAATGGTGTGATGGGTAACCGTGGTGAAATCACTAAAGGTCAGCGAGGTTGGGAGATCGGGACTTACGAGCCCTGGATGACGAGAACTAAGGAGAAGAAGTTTGGTCAGCTATGGATAATGTACTGTACAGTGTAATTGGAAAATGTTACCTACCCAATATGTCTTTCGCCTTCTGGATGCCTCCCATTAGAAGTTATTGGTTCAGTGTAGGCAATAGGAAACCATCCGCATCTGCCAGTAAAAGCGTTTGAATCAATCCAATTATTTGTATACATCTTTTATATAAGACCGTCTGTTACCTGTGATTTCTTAGATTCTCTCCGTATTGCCAACCTTTATTCCTTTCGCCAATTAAAGCAATAACATCGCCTTCGTGGAAGCTGAGTTGATGTTCACCACTAGACAAATAAGAATAGAGGGCTTTCACGTGATGAATTTCGCTCTTGGCGCTTTCTACCATACTTTTGGGACGAAGCGGCATCACTATAAAAAGTTATTCTCAGAAGGCGAATATTTAATTAGTGATTAAAATGATGAAGAACCAAACTAACCATATTCACTAGAGACGAGACTAGCGCTAGAAGAAGCCAAATTAAAATCGGATTTAGCCCGAGATAGGGGACGTTGATAATTCAACTCCTGAACGTCGCACAAATCTCCGCAACTTGCATCGATGCTTCTGGTTTTTCTCAATCCTCCTTGAGCATAACTCGATATACTCAGGGGTTCACTAGACCCAATATCTAATAAAATATTCGAAGATGCGTATTCGCTACCTATCCTGATGTCACTGGACGGAAATAGTTTTTCCATTGTTTCTGGTAGAAGTTCTCTTGCCGCTGCTACTTCGTTCCACTCTTCTAAGTGATGTTGCAGCAATGCCTGCCCCTAAAATAATAAAATTACTATGAAAATTTATAATGTAAACTTTCGAATCGATATTAAACATGCGTAAAATTATCACTAAAAGTATAGGAATTTAAATCGAGAATAATCAAGTGTGCAATTCAGTTGATCGATTGGAAAATACTCGAGTCATTTTGCAGCATTTTTATGATGAAAACAGATAATATAGATTCGTTGTATCCACCTTCGTTCTTTTATTGATTTTCCACGAAGGACGGAAATTACACACACACACACACACACACACATATATATAAGATTATTTTATTAAATTTAAAGGAATGGAAGTAACGTCTATGGGGAAAAACTATAGATAAATGTACAAAACAAGTAATTAGTATATAGTATATTCATTAATATAATCAACTTGAGTTCGGACGAAGACTGGAGGGTGTGGTAGATTAATTCGTACCAATTAAAGAAGTGCAAACAGCCTACTGTTTAATTCGTTTAATAATAAATTTATTAGATGATAAGATTAATTTTTATATCAACGAATAAATTAAACAGTTTAGATAATTGACTATGTTTTACACTGTTTTTAAGTAAGATATAAATATAATAATATTAAAAATAAATAATTTACATTCGTAGCTTAATGTTTCGTGATATTTTAAAGTGTTTTTAAGGGCAATATCAGCTCAGAAAAAAAAAGATATTTTGAACAACGTATCCGTGTATTTAACGATAACAATAGATAAGTATTGTATGTATACATAAGAATGTTTGTGATACTTTAAGTTTTATGTCTTTATCATTAGAAAAAGTCTCTTATTTCCTAGTTCTATTAATAGAACGATCAAAAAATGTTTGGGATTTACTAAAGTGAATAAGTGACTTATCCGAAAGTCAATTGCATTAATGGATTTTCTATGGATTTCTTTTTTTCCCCTGTTTTTTAGTGGATGGCTCGAGGCTGTGAAGACTTTTTAGGGTATTATTGGATTGATAATAGAAGAAATAATGCCACGGGCATTTGTCTATTGTAAATAAAATTCTTCATACGAACCATTGGATCGATGATTGATCTTGGCCAAGAACAATTTTATAAGACATAAGTAGATATTTATGAATGTTATAAAAAGAAATAAGAAAAAAAAAGATTAAAATTTATATGGAAAAGAATGATAAAAGAAATAATGCCACGGGCATTTGTCTATTGTAAATAAAATTCTTCATACGAACTATTGGATCGATGATTGATCTTGGCCAAGAACAATTTTATAAGACATAAGTAGATATTTATGAATGTTATAAAAAGAAATAAGAAAAAAAAAAGATTAAAATTTATATGGAAAAGAATGATAAAAGGGAAAATTTCGAAAAGTTTCAAATAAAAGATGTTAGAGGAATCAATTGCTACACTAAATGGGTTATTATATTATGAAACGGAATCTATTAATCAAGTAGTAAAGTTCATCTCGAGAGAGAAAGAGATGCAGAACATAAAAGATAATTCTTCAGCGGATAAATGCCAAATTAAATTATCGGTTACCATAATTTGATTCAATATTTATTACTTGTGCTTTTAGTTTAATTCTTCATCGCGCAAACAACACTAAATTATATTTACAAAGAACTAAACTCTTGGCTAAAGCTTTACTTTGTAATTACTAGTCATAAACATCTTTCAAAAAAAAAAGTTCTCTGTACATTATCTTAATTAAATATTTACAAAGGGTTCAGAGATGTAGAAATATTTTGAGAAGAGAGCGATAACTCGCTGTAGCTTGTCTGATTTATTCGAGAGATTGGCGAAATTAAAAATTATATCTTTGGTATATTATGACGTTATCGTCTTTGGTAGACGCCATTTAAGTTCGCAACAATAATTTAATGGTTATTTACTGTATACTTACCTTACTGTGATATACCAGACGGTGTTTAGTCAAGGAGCATTGTCTTTCCAGAACGAAACCGTATCTTCGCCTTTCTTGAGTAATGGCCTGGAAAAGATGATCAAAATGAACAATTTCTGGACCTAAAAATGTAAATTATCTACAGTATAAAAGTTATAAGAGCTCACCTGTTTCAGGCTTCCTACGCAGAAATGATCCAACTTCATCTTTTCTTCTTCCATTATCTGCATTTGCTGGAGAAATTAATTTAGGATAATGCATTGATCGGATAAGTTTTAAATATATTTTTAATACCTACTTTGATTTCTTTGTCAATATTAGAGGATCTACTGCTCCTATTCTTTTTCCTCTGCTTCTTAACCGTAGAGACTGCTTTTAAGTAGCTATCTTGGAAGGATTTGTGTTGTTGAAGGAATTTTTTATGCTCCGTCTAGAAATTAAATAAAGGAAATCCATTCATCGTAAATGACGATTTGCATAATAAAAACATCATTAAGTATACTCACAGCAACGATTTTAGCATCTTTCTCTAGATTAGTCTCCAGTGGAACCAACAAGTCAACGTAGAACGCCTTCAACTACCAAATACAAAAGGGAGCCAGGTTAAGATCATTGATAGTTGTTTTGTGAAAAACTAGGCATTTGCCTCATTTATTTTGATTAGCCACCCGCCTCTTGACGGTTTCGCTATCATCCATTTCCTAATTAGAAAAGCAGAAAAGTGGATGCTACTTACGATGTTCATTTGCTGGGCCTGGATCTCTTTCTGCACGTCCAACAATTGCATCAGAGCAGTTCCTGAAGTTAAAGAGAATAAAATCAGAGACTCATCTCCACAATCTTAATGGCCCAGAGAAGAATGAATTTAGATAATTCAATCTATGGTCAACCGTGTTTATTGAACGGAGGCAATTTTATCAGGAAAGTATAAAAGGGATTAAACGCTACTCTATATTTATCGATAAACCTTTTCAATTTAATCGTTTTTCGTATATTTTACTACATCACAGAATTTCCATCTAGTCCCGTAGGGTTGCTTTTATCGGATAAAATTGAAAAACCTTTAACACGTGGAGGTCCTCCCATTGTCGTGCTAGTAATTGCAGAGAGAGCAGCTGTCTGAAGGAAAGGAAGAGTGTTAAATTGCAGGCCGATGTGATTTTTTTCTCCTCTTTTTTTTTCTCTTTGAAAAGACAGCTGTCACAGGATCCAAATCGACGAAGCGGAAAGGGCACGTCCACAGACACAAAACTTTATGTTACTCACCAATATCTGTGCATCCTCCCCAAGTTCCTTGGTGGGCGTGACGGGCTAACTTGTGGATAGCTTCTATATACACTTTCGAAGCCGATACAGCACCTGAATATTTAAAGAATTCCTTTAATAAATATTTATTAACCGTCATCTGTTCCGATAAGTATATATATATGTTGCAGGAGTAATTCGTTGTCGAGAAACTCTGGAATTTCCCATATCTTTAATACGTTGTAGTTAATTTGTGATAAGATCTGGTTTTATGATTCCTTTTAAGAGAATTACTTCCAACAACCCAGATAGCTATACTAATTCAACACGCGTGGAGCCAACTAAAAGGGAACAAATAGCCCATTCCGATGCAGGTTCCGTGTCTCCACAGCAGAAGAGTTGAAGTCGTATCGAATATAAATATTTAACAACATCCAAAAAATAATAATAATAATTCTAAACATGATTCCAAATGATCTTTAACGAAGAACACAACTTTCATAAATCTCTACCGGAACTCGTGGCAAAAATACAATGAGATCCAAATATAGAACCTGTTAAATAACACGTTAAATTAAAAATTAAATAGAACGTGTTGTTTGGCAAATTTCTAAAACTATAATTAAGTTCTACCGGTGTCCGTTATCAAAGCTTTAAACGTCACGTTTCTAAGAAAAAAACACATTGAATTTTGGGCATAGTTTGGCGATAAGATTACTTAAATTGTCTTTGTAAACTTTACAAACATTTTGCCATTGCTCCTGCGAAAAGCGCTAAAGGAATGGACGAGTTTCTTAAGTAACAATGCCCTTCTATATCGTTAGAGAATTTAGTTGAAGCCACTTAAAAATAAGTGAAATACTTCTTACCGTGTAGAGCCTTCAAGTAGGCTTTTCCTGCTGTGATAAGTTGTCTGGCACATGGATTAAATTTCTCCAAGATATTCTGTTAAGAGAATTACCCACTTAGTAAGAGAGAGAGAGAGCGATTATGTTATTATTATTATCGAATATAAGTTTTTAAAGAATGCGGCAAAGCCGAGAGAGAAAAAAAAAAAAATATTCACCAACCTTATAGGTACCATCCACGAGTTTGGCAATCTCCTCCGTGTCCGTCATAGCGGGTCAAGAAGCGTTGCGCGCCTCACCATCTCGGGGTGCAGACTGTCGCCTGATATTTCCGTTCTCTACGTCCACACGGCATGACGTCACACCAACCACGTGATCGGCACGTTCTCCGGAAGCGTAGGGGAGGAAGAAGTGATTTGATGGTATGTGTAGTAAATCCAATTACCTTGCTTTAATCTATTCTGGTAGATGTATTAGAAGCGAATGTCTGAACAGTTAATTGTATAAATGCAAATTTGTAAAAATAATTGAAAGATAAGTAGAAGTGTAAAACTTGTTTATTCGATAATTAATTTTTTTCTTTCCTTTCTCCCTCCATTTCCATTTTTAAAGTATTAAGGTTGGTGTCAAAAGTCGCGGTTCTATGGCAAGAATTCACCTCATTAATACCGGCGAGTATTGAATTGTTTGCCATTCATTTCACAACACATCCTTTGCAATTAGCCACCTTCGTTTTGCTTCCATCATTTATTTACAGAGTCGATTGCCCCAAGCAAAGTCCACTTATCAAACACATTACTTTTCACTGCCTAATTTGCAGCCATTTTTTTTTTTATTTTTCCTTAACTTCTCTCCCTTCCTCTTCTCGTAATTTATTGTTCTGGTTAGCTAACATCTCAAGGATAATAATTACTTTGTGTCGTATTTCTTGAACTGCCAATTAACTCGCTGGTCGATCGACTGGCTGATATTTCATTATTACTTTTCCTCCTCTTTTTTTTTTTTTTTAAATTTTATCCACAAGATAAGACTAATATAATTGGGCTAATTTACGTATGATATTCTTATAAGTTCTATTATTAAAATGCTAATGGAGTGACTTTTTGTTTAAGTATTTAAAAACGAGAAAAGAATATAGGAAATGATCGTAAATCAAACTTGTGGAAGTGGAAAAGAGAATTTTCAACGATATATTCCAACGCTCTCCTGAACACAATGATTGAATGTGATTTTTTCTAAAATAAGTCTAGGGAAAAAGGGGAAAAAAAGAACCCTTTCCCCAACTGTAAAGCTTTTATCAATGCATTCGCACAACTATTTTCCGTATTTCAGTTGAATCTCATAAAATGAAGCCGGATAAACAACAAAAATTGATAAATTTCCTATCATACTCCATCACGTTTCGAGTTTCAAGGGTTTCTTTAAAAATTTGTTCGTAAGTCAGTATTAGGTTCCTTCCGATTATAATCGAATCAACCTGAAGTTTGATAGATCAAAGACGAAGATGTTGGCCATTGTTAAATGATAAAATACTCAGTGTTTTTAATGTAAATTTTAATGGTGTGACTTGATGACTGTTGACTAAACAACGCAAACTGTTAAGGATTTTCTAACAAGACTAGTCAAATCCTCGATTTGTTTGAATTATAAATACTAGATTTGAATTTAAATGTATTTAACTTGTTTAAATTTTCCGTATGCGTCAAAAGGAGGGGAGAGAAAAAAAAGTATATATATAAAAATTCAATTAGAATTCTTGTAAATTTTCAAATTAGAGTGCAGAGAGGATTTAAGTGGATTGTATTTGTGACTTGTTCGCACGTCAATATTGTTAATGCGATGCAGGACAACGTCATTTCGACTTGTACGTACAAAATTAGGCATGTTGAACACGAAAGATCGCTCGGTGACATCTCTCGATAATGGTGAGCGAAATGGGTTGTAACATTGTGTTAATGGCTTCTCGCCATTTGCAAATAAGCGAAATATCTTGTTTTAAAAATTCCCTTTATAACTACGGCAATGTTATATTTATAATTTATCCCTTTCGGGTTTTGATTCTGATTTCTACCGTGCGAAAGGTTTTTGAACCTTTCAAAATTGAATTCTCAGTTCGGGGATCTCTTTTTCCCTCCGGAATTCATCATCTGTCACGTAATGAATAAAACAGATGAGGTATTTTAATTTATATATATATATATGTATATGTATTTTAAAGTACGGTGCGTAACGTAACGTTGCTAGGAGGGAGGAAATTACCCCTAGAGCCATGTACATGTTGGGTTGTTAAATGACCCTAACCAGAAGAACAAACTGTTAGCCAGCTTGTGTGCTTTGCTTATGTAAATATTGCCGACGCCATCCTATTTACTGATCATCTATCTTCTAGCCTAATCGTAACGACAAAAGACAGGGTGACAAATGGCACAGGCCCGTCTGATCCGTTCGGGGAGGTGTGAATGTTGCCTTTCTATACATCTGTCTTCTACACAGCCCTCAAGTGACAGCTGACTTTACCAAGAAAGATTTTAATGTCCCAACCACTAAACCGATCCAATACCTCTTGATATTTCAAATCGAGCATGGATTATCTTGGGCTGGCCACTTCATTATTTTAGAGACGTATCCCCCTTCCCTTAACTTACGTGACCTCCTCTATCCCCGCTATAAAATAAGATGTTTATTTCCTATTTTGAAAAACATTTTCGATGGATATACGGACGATAAATTATTTTCCAAATTCATATATTTCCAGTAAGTTTGACAGTTTACTAGGGGTATAAATATATATATATTCTTACCTTTTACCCGGAAGAATAAATACACGGAAAGCCAGTCGCTATTTATCTGTATGATATGTGTCTACGAAATTGGACCTTCCGGGCGTAATATTCCTAATATTTATCGAATGTTTGGGAGAACTTAAACCAAACTCGGTGTGACATAGCCCAAACATTAGCCTACAGCCTCTAGCAATCGTTATCTCCTATTAGTAAGTATCAAATAGTCAGTGTTTGACTCGCTTTACTCACTTGAAAATAAAGTTATAGAAAACCTCTTCGTTATATCCCTAAAGAAACTCTCTCTCTCTCTTTTTTGAAGGTTTAAAAAATCTTTCCTGCGGGAAAATACCTTTTTTTTATCTAGAAGTTTGGTAAGGAATCGGTAAAATTGGCCGTTTTATTGATTTTCTGAATTGAGTTGTGTTGCATACGAATGTGTTTTGCTTAAGTTTAAATCTCAGTAAATAAACAAACAAAAAATTTAGATTAAAATAAAAAAAAAAAAAAAAAAAATTTTCTTTAACTCGATTCCATTTAATCCATTTAAAAATAAAATTAATATATTTAAATTTAAAAGATAATAATTAAATTACAATTTAAAACACATCGAGAAGGTATTTCTTTATTCTTTAAAATAATAATAAAAATCTAATATTATCAGGTTAAAAAAAAGTCAATATTATATTCGTAAGGAGTGAAAACAATAAGAAAAATTATATTTTAAAAGTCGCATTTTTATATCATTTCCCTAGAGATTTGGCTATCAAATACATTTGGAACGTCTGCTCTGCAAAGTATCTACAATTTTCTTTAAAGTAGATTTCACTAACATCTAAAAAAAAAAAACGAATGAAATCGGAGCTAACAGCTGAGACTCCCCTTTCCAAACTAAAAATTTCTATCGCTATCCACTTGTTTATTCTATCCTTTATCCTCCCACTCGACTAAACTAATTTCGAAATGTCGCAATTTTCAACTCTAACAGAAAACAATATATTCTTCTTCTATTAGTCACTGTTAATACACGGCATCGACCTTTACTCTTTTAATAAATCAGAAGAGAAAGGAATTTCGAATGGAGTAGAATTACACAGAATCTACGACCGGATTTATAGAATTTCACATCATATACGAAAGTTCCTCCTCTCACGCAATTAATCGAATATAAAAAAAAAAATAAACTCGGTATAAAGAAATATAAAATTAAGTCTGACGTCGTTTAGAAAATGAAATTTGTTTAGACGAAGAAGACGACGAAACTGGTTAAAGAAAAAGAAACAAAATCTGATTTTCCGATACACTTTTGAATCTAAAGTCGTCTTGGGTATGGAATTTGAAAATCAAATGGAACTTGTATTATTTTATTTTATTTTTTTTTATCTGTAACAAGATTTTTTTTTCTTGCTCTCGAAGAGGTTAAATCTTGCTCTTTCCACATCCTTAACAATTTCACTCTTATCCGTGAAACCCGCATCTCTATCAATTACCATAGCGCTCTTTTTACTTGGTACTCGTGCTATCTGTATGGTTTGTTACGAGTATGAGGTTGTAAAAGAACCCCCGCTGATGGGAATATATCGTAAAGGCCATCTTATGAATCACGAAATGACGACTCCGAGTCGCGATGCGGATGGGATTTTTCCACTTTCTTCCTCCTTCCTCCGACGTTAGCGTGATTCGACTCGCTTCTATTGTAAAAAAAAAAAAAAAAAAAATTCTGTAGGCTTTTATTTTGATTGTTTTTCTTCTACTTTCTACTTTGCTAGAATGTATTATAAGACTAATATGTACCAAGAAACGATTTCTTAAGGGCGGTGGTATTCTTTACCCTGTCATCTAGATTTTTATGAAGGACTTTAAACGTTATCTTCGTTAATAATTGAAGAGTGTCTCTTTAAAAAAATTGTCTTTATTTTAGTTATCTCGTTCAAAAATTTAAGCGAGAAGACAGATATATATATATATATATATATATTGGAAAATTGCACGGGGTTGGGTTACATTAAAACAATAAGTTAGTGTATTTTGGGATTTTTCTTCTATTCTATCTAACAAGAACAACAACAACTTAATAGTAATTTTAATAATGTTGTTATGCTCGGATGATTCTCGATATACCTCTAAGGCACGAGTGTAATTTATTCGTAAACTATTACACGAAAATACTTTTAAATTTTAATCTGCTAAGAGGAATTTTCTTCTTTTGATATAATGGAGTTATGTATTAATCATTCACGAATCTAAGAGAACAATTTTATTGTTGTAAGCTTCTTTACTGAAACTCAATTGTTTTTAGTTTAAAGAAGAAAATAACTTAAATATAATCGATTTAAAATGCTTAACAAATTATATATTTCTTTTTAATATTAATAAATCTGTTTTGAATGTTTAAATTTAGATATGCAAATCTGGCTTTTTTTTTCCCTCTCCTCCCTCTCTCTCTCTCTTCCTCTTCCTCTTCCCAGATTTTTATGCGTAAAATTGCTTTTAAGAATAAAGAAATTAGAAAAAAGTAATGTTCTAGAATTAATCTCTAGAGGAATAGATCTAGTTTACAAATTTTATCCGATATATTACATTTTCTTCTTCATTTTTCTTAACTT